TTATTCAAAATGTCCAGAATAGGCCAGAAAGTAGAATGATGGTTGCTAGGGGATAAACAGTAAGGAATTCAACAGTGGTGATAATTATACAACTTGGTGAATACAGTCTACCAAAATCACTGAGTCGTACACTTTAAAAGGGTGAACTGCATGGCATGTGAATATCTCAGTAACAAAATTAAAATTATAAAGGAACTAGCTTTATCAATATGTATAGCTCTCAGAAATGCAGAAAATTTTTAAAAAGAAATTTAGAAAAAACAAACAGAAACAAAAACCCTAGGAACAATATGATACCATTTTTGTTTTTAAAGGTCATTTGTTCTATGAAGATACAGCACAGAAAAGAGTTTTATAATGTTCTGGGTTTTTTTTTTAAGAGAGAGAGATACATATAATTTCTCAGGTATTTAAAAATGTGAAATAATTATGAAATAAATGTTCACTCAAAATGTGAACAATTACCTACACGAGTCATTCCCAAGATTTACAAGTGGCCAAAATGCATATAGAAAGCTATTTATGAACTCATAACCAAATAAATGTAGATTCGAACAAAATGCTCTTTAGAATAAAGACCCAATTTTCAATGAGTGGACCCAGAGGGTTCTACTACATTCAAAAGGATGCATTCTAGACAGACTTTCTAGGGCTGAGCAAACCCAAGAGGGCTCAGTGAGTGCTGGTGCCTGTTGTTCCCGCCCAGTCAAACTCCAGAGGACAGGGGCAGTGCTGTGTTCATCTGCCTGGCTCAGACGCTTGCCTACAAAAACATGTGTTAAGTAGGTACTCCTCTTTTTCATCCTGACTACTTGATTTTACATACTAATGGTATCTAACAGTTGATTTACAGATAGGATCAAATTATGGACAGACAAGAATGGTACTCAAAAGAGTAGAAGAAAATGGGACTCATCTGTGAACCATGGACTGGCTGTATGTCGGCATCATTAAATGACAATTATTCTTTAGGTTTGTAAAGAGTGTGATCTTTCTTGGGAAGGAAAACATTTTTTTCATGGAATCCAGGTTTCTGGGGCCATTGAGGCTGGATGACCCCCCTCACAGTAGTGCCCTGAGGAAATCTTTAGACTTATACTAGCCACTAAAGCAGTGGTTCTCAACCTGTGGGTTGTGACCCCTTTGGGGGTTAAACGACCCTTTCACAGGGGTCGCCCAATTCATAGCATTAGCAAAATGACATCTATGAATTAGCAGTGAAAATAATGTTATGGTTGGGGGTCATCACCACATGAGCTGTATGAAAGGGTCATGACATTAGGAAGGTTGAGAACCACTACCCTAAAGTCTTCTTAGACCGAACAACAGTTTAGCACAATTATAGAAGAATGTCTGCCTTAAGCATTATGATCGTTTAAAGAATTCTTTTGTGGATCAAATTTATACCAGCAACTACAAAGGTTAGATGAGAAGTGAAAGAGGATTAAACTTGTGTTAATAATGGTGAAATAACTTGGAAAAGTCATCTCACAGCAAATCTCTAAGACAGAGTAGAACTGCCCCCCTGAGTTTCTGAGGCTGTAAATCTTTACAGGAGTAAAAAGCCTCATCTTTCTCTCATAGAACAGTTGGCAGTTTCAAACTGCTGATCTTGTGGTTAGCAGCTCAACTTATAATCCCCTACACTACCAGAGGCATTATAAGCAAGAATTGACTCAA